CCCCCCCCCCCCCCGTTCCATGTCATTTAAACCTTTCTTTCGTCTTCTGGAATAATTCCAAACAATTCTGCTCCCTTTAGAAACTTGCAAACAGCTCTCCTGTCTCCCTGCATCTTCTCTTTTCCAGGCTATACACACCCAACCCCCTCCAACCTTTCCTCCTATGTTTTTCCTTATAGGCCCCTCATCATCTTGGTTGCTCCAGTTTGTCAATGTCCTGCCCAAAAAATTATTCAACCACATTTTCTGTTTTCTCACCACACACTGGACCATAAACTGACCACAAGGGGCATGTGATTGACTGGCCCTTGGCTCAGTGTGTCATGTGAACATCAAGGCGCGTAAAGGGCTGTGAACATATTCCAGAATTCTCACAATCCATTAAGGTAGGTGGGTATTTTCTGGATACTAGACTACTGCAATGCGCTCTATGTGGGGCTACCCTTGAAGACTATCTGGAAGCTACAGCTGGTCCAGAATGCAGCCACGCAGGCTATTGTTGGAGCCCCAAGGAGGGCCCATGTAACGCCTCTGCTCCGCGAGCTGCATTGGGTACCAGTTTGCTTCCGGGTCCAATTCAAGGTGTTGGTTATCACCTTTAAAGCCCTACGTGGCATGGGGCCAGGTTACCTAAGGGACCGCCTTTCCCCTATGACTTCAACCCGTCCCACCCGATCACACAGAGAGGGCGTGCTTCGGACCCCCTCAGTGAAAGAACTTTGACTGGCGGGGTCCAGAAGGCGGGCCTCCTCTGCAGTGGCCCCCGCCCTTTGGAACATCCTGCCCCCGGAGGTGCGATTGGCCCCCTCACTTCTGGCCTTCCGAAGGGCCTTGAAGACCTGGTTCTGCCACCTGGCCTGGGGTGGGGAGGGAATACCTCGAGCATGGGGATGGCTAGCCCCATAGAGGCCTGCTGTCTTCAGCCCCAGATTTTTCAGCTTCTTGGATCTTCCCTTTTTAGTATTGTTTTAAATTTTGGATGCTTTATGTGTTTTAGATATATTTATAGTTTTTATGTTTTTTGTAAGTCGCCCAGAATCCCCTATTGTGGGGGAGATGGGCGGGGGAGAAATCCAATAAATAAAATAAATACTGCAGATCAAGGCAGTGAGCCGTTTTGCTGTTAGACATTTCAGCGGAAGGAAAAATCTCTGAAACTGGTCATACGGACAGGGAAGAAGACTGTTAATTTGTTTTGGAAATCTATGTGAGAGGCACTAAAGATTAATATTCTGCACTAAAATGGAACAAGGGGACCATCTAGTGTTCTTCCAGGAGCAATGCTTGTGCGTGTTCTGCACGACAGAAGGTTGTTCTCCAGAGCTGGATTTCAGATCCTCAAAGATGAGGCTTTGGACATTTTTCTTATAAATCAAAGAAGAGAGAAAGGGTCTGCATTCAGACAGTGCTCTAAGCCCAGAGGCAGCTGAAAGATCCACCATTTTCTTCAAAATAATGACAGTAATGCAAGCTTGACTACTTTTATACATGCATATGATATCACAACACACCCACCAAAGGGGCAGAGTTTGCATCACAACAGCACAATGTTGCCATTTTCATTCAATACCTCACCTTCTGGCGGCCATCTCTGGTAAGCCCAAATGAATTTCGTTGCTTGGGACTTAAGAGAGAGCTCAAGTCTGTGTTGTTTCTGGTTTGTTTAAGGCCTAATGTGACACACGATCCTGCCCTGTTGTGGAGTTAAGCAAACCCTAATTTATGAACACAGCCAGTGCCTCTGACTTGTATGCAGATTTATTTACAAAATGCAATAACTCCAGTCCAACTTTTGGATAAATAATAACCCAGAATCATAATACAATATAGTAGAAAATGAAACATAACAATACAATGAAACTCAGGCTGGCATCAGTGGTTCCACCAACAATCCTTGAAGACTCTCTAGAAAAGGCATGTCTTTACAAGTTTCTGGAAGGCCCACCAACTTGAAGAGCTACACAGAAAAGTACATTTCAGCAAGGAATTTTCTCTCCCTTCCCATAGGGTGTTCTATCTTCTTGATAAGAGCCTAGAGCCTAGAGCTTTTGACAAAGGGCTGGGGGCACATAAAAAGGGGGTGAGGCTTTGATGACATGGTTGCGTTTGCCATCTTTACTTTTTTGACCCCCTTCCCTGGAGACATCCCTGGGAGCCACAAGCACAGCACTGGGCAAATTGCATGGGGCCAAGGAGCAGCAGAGTTCCCCACCCAATTAATGTGACATGCACACCTAGCCCATTGTGGTTTACCCTGTTAACCACAAATAAACCAGAGTTTAGCCTGATGTGAAGCCAGCCCTTGTGGTTTATTCAACAAACTTACCTATCCATCCACAAACGCGGTTGGAGTTGGAAGAGCACTAGGACCGCAGGGTGGTTGGATTGAGACTGCAGTCAAGACATCCTGGCTCAGATTCCCCCTGCTGGCTTCCCAAATTGGGGGTGGGGGTGAGGGAAGGAAGGAGCTAACACATTCCTTGTGAGAAGAGCAAATGGTGGGCTCAGCCCAAGGACTCCCCATGGATCACTTCTGCAATTTAGAGAGAGTATTGTTTTTCTTCTATTCTTTTTGATGCCTTCTAAATTGAGATGTAAAATAAAATAATAAATAAAAATACAATTAAATAACAATAATTAATAAAGTATTTTATAATTTTATTAGTAATTATTAATAAAAGTGCCTCCAGTGAGGCACTACCTTGACGTGGTTGTGGGGCAAGGCTGATGGACGGGTTGCTTCAAATTGGGGGTTATGAGATAAATGTGGGCAGAGGCATCCATTTATGTGTAGCTGGGAATGTTACGAAGAAAAACGTTGCTTCCGTTTTTTAAAAAACCCAGTGCTTTAAAATTTCTGGAAACCTTTCACCGAATTACGGCAGAGCTAGGCCACACTTATTTTAGGGAACTGCAGGAAGGAAAACACCAGGCCTGTGAGTGAAATCGGGATCTTCTGTTCCCCTGGTTTGGGGAATGGGAGGCTTTTCGTTTTTCCAAAGTTATTTAAGCCATATATTTGTTTTATTTTTATGACCGTTCTTCTTCCTAGAGAGATCTCAGGCAGTTTACAAGAGAAGGGAGAAAGAAACAGAGACATCCAGGTCTATGTGCTTGGGTATATACAGGATGCGCATGCAAGGTGACAGGCGCAGGGTCCCAACTGAAGCTCCGCCCATTTTGTACATGCACATACAAGACAGCTGGGGCTCTGATCATGAAGCTGCGCCAGTGGGCAGATTTCGACCCTCCCATGGGTACCTCTGAAAAGAAACTTTAAATAAAACCACTAAAACTGTTTCTCCCCCCCCCCATTTTCTGTCTCCCCCCTGCCCTTTACAAAAATAGGAAGTCACACCCAGCTTACTAAAGATCAGCAGCTTGGTTGAAGAGTTTCAAAGCTGCAGTAGGTGGCCCTTAATGAATCTCCCCTGATTTAAACACTGCAACAGCTGGGTCCACACAACCCATTAACCCCAAATCTGTGACCACAGTCCATAACTTTTTCTAGACCAAAAAATGCCCCAAGGTCACGCAGACAACTTTAAAACAAGAATCTTCAGTTCATCTGATGTCTTCCCAGGGGGCATTTTCTTTTCTAATCCTTAGCCAAATACCACACCCACACAGATGCAGGAACACTATATTTATTAAGTCAATAGTTCATTTTAGCAATACAATTACAGAATATCACAATGTTGGTTACAAACATACTTAGGATGGTTTGATGTGTACAAAGAATAAAATCGAGCACGGCGGTCTGGCGTGATGTCAGATACAAAAGAGGAGGAGTGGGATGGCCAAGGATGGTCAAAAGGCCTCCATATAAGTAACAGTGGCACAAAAAAGATGAGGGGATTCAGATTTAGAGACGCTGGGAGGTGTACTCAGCTTTCAGCTGATTTGTTTCCAACAACATTGCTTATAGACAGTTTTTGTTTAATATATGTACATATTTTAATCCCCTGTTAAGATTCATGGAGTATTAAAAAATAATAGTACTGAAAGTGGTAATATTAAATAAAAATAAAAGCTCATTCGACATCCCCCCCGAAGAAATAACGCTAAAGTTTCTCTCTCTTTTAAATCTTATTTTCATGGCAACATAGCTTATATCAAGGAATATGCATACAAAGGAAAGCTGGGCTGGAGGGCAGTTACACATATGGTACCTGTGAGAGTTAGTGATCCAACACTGAAAAACTTGTGTGCCAAACACCAAGTTTCTAGATATCTCTATATATTTATATAGCATATATATTTTTCCATCTTATTTTTTTTAATGTTTTCAAACCAAAGAAATCTGCACTTAAAAACAACTCACTAAGGCCTCTTCATGCTATAAGATACCTACAATTGCCATGGTAGTATTTGCTAATGAGAATCCAAAATTGATTTCACAGAAAAGGGAAGTGGGTTTCACTGCCTTAAAAACATTCCTGAGTTTGAGGAGTGAGACAAAAAGCACAATCTCCCTCGCTGTCAAAAAGGAACCCTACAAGCACTTTTTTGCCACCCGAAAGCTCCCTTCATCCCTTCTAGAACGCAACAGCAGGACACACGTAGCAAAGATCTTTTCCCCCCAGAGGCACAATGTGCCACAGACCAAACTGTCTCAAAGACACAAAACCGATAAAAGAAAAACAAATAGCCATAACAAGCATAACAGACATTCCTATTCCTGCTTGAACTCGAAGCCAAGGAACACGACCAAAATTCGTCAAAGGTATTCAGGTTCCTCCCCTTGGTGCCCAATAATGGGGCATCTTTTACAACAAGGCAAAATCCTTGAGCAACTTCCTAACCTGGTGCTCTCTGTTTTGACTGGAAGTGATGGGAACTGTGGTCCAATCCACGTGGAAGGCGCCAGGTTTGGAGCGGCTTCAGTTTCTGATGAGAAGGCACTAAGGCTGTGCATGCTTCAAAAACAATTTGGAGGAACTGCTGCAGACGTCATGCGAGCACAGTGCCTCTCTGCAGTTCATTAAAGCAGCTCTTTTTTTCAGCCTGAAAAAAAGAGCTGAAAAGAAAATAACTGCTTTCTGAGTTGGAATCATAAGGAGCATATTCCTTAAAAAGTGACTGTGTTGATTTTCAGGCTTATGAAACAAAATCAGATTCCTTTAACAGGTAGCAGAGGTCTTGTGGCCACCTGAGATCTGCAGCAATTCTTCCAAACCCTCTTTGAAGTCTACATCACTCTAAGAGGCACATGAAAGAACCACCAATTGCTCAATGCCGTCTTTCCCCACCCCCTCACGGCACCAGATCAGTTTCTGTCACACACAGAGAGCCAAGCACGGCCACTGGTGGTGCTAGGAAGTACATCCTAAGCTGGGATAGCTCTTTGCTGTCCCTACACCAGGTTACCCTTCTGTGGCCAGTAATTTCATCTGCCCTAAAACTCAGTTGGGATGGGGTAGGGGAAGGACATGTACAGGATGACAGTTACAAATACATTAAACTTCCATGGGAATAATAATTGGGGAAGGATAAAGTCCTGCAATCACATGGCCCAAGCCAGCTTTACCTTTTCAGACATGGGATTCAGACATGCTGCAGCAGAAATAGCAAGAGGAGCGGAAAGCCCATTCCCACATCTGCTCTTGGTGCTTCAGGATGCCTTTCAATATGCCGGATGAGTTGTAAAAAACAACCTCTGGGCAATTTTACAAGCCCCTCAGTTTCAGTGAGAGACTCCAAACTGTCCAAAGGAATCTCATTTTGGCTAGACTGTGTCCTCTGTTTATAGAAGTGGACAAGTTCAAACTATTGTTCTGCATCAGTTCCTTACTGTATACAAGTCACGAAGGGATTTCCATCCTTGGGATCAGTAAAGATTTCAAAATATTGCAACTCCTTCATTTCTGAACTGGGGAAGTTTGAAATGGAGGGGAAAAAGGCCCTTCAATTTATAGATTCAATTCCAGCTCCATTAACGCAGCTGGAAAAATGGATCTTAAATTGCCTGTTATGTGAACTGACCCAGCAAAAGTAAACACAACTTTCTAGGCTCACAAATTGGTTTCCACACAATCAACAGCTTAAATCCAGAATCTACTTAATCCAGTGATTCCAACTGAGGTCATCAGTCCTGTTCCAGTTATGTGGCTTGGACATCTCTCAACCAATGTCTCCTTGGAGCCAAGTCCTCAAGATTTATAAAGGATTACTAAGAACTATAGTTAGGATATCAGTCTTTGCTTAACTAGAACATAATGAAGAAAGCAGACTGGACAAATCAGAACAGCTTCTGCAAAATCTTGTCTATTGGACAATTGGATGATAGGGTCCATTTTTTAAAAAACTATCCTATTCTGTTGCTTCATCCACTCTAGCCAGACTTCAAATTAAGGTCAAAATGAAAGAGAAACTAAACAAATGCATTGCTTCTGAACAAGCCCCACACCTGAAATGTTCTTTCAAGAGCCATCCAGTTTTTTGAAGCAGTTGTTTCAAGAAGCTGTGTGGAAAAAATTGTGGAACGGCAATTATACTTTTATGGGAGGAAGAGACAAAGGAAGTGGATGATCTATAATAGCAACCAGTCACACCTGTGTCAGCTATTAAGCCTCCAATCCATCAGTTTCCCTGTTCTCTTAATGCACCCGCTCACCAACTGCAGAGAGACATTTAGCCTTGAAAACATCTATTCTCAAAGGTCGGGAGCTGGAAAAGAAATGCCTTTCTCGTTAACTGGAGGAGTCAAGAAGGCCTTGAAACTAAGCATGATAAACCACAATCCTGATCAGATGGGCAAACAAGTTGAAGCCCAAAGTCGGCCCTCAGAATGCCAGGATCCCAACCAAAGGTGGGAGGGAAGTATCTTCTATTTAACTATCAATCCTGGAAAAGAACATTTTGCTTGCACAGGTACATCTTCATGCCTGAGCTACCTGTCATATATTTATTAGAATCTTGACTAAATGATGACAAAATTAATTCACAATTCAAACTCTCAATAGTAAGAAGGGGAAAAAGGAATCCCCCCAAGACTTACAACACTTGAGCAAAAACACTTCCAAATGGTGTAACAACTGTAGTTTCTCTGTATGAAAAGGTTTAATTGGTCCCGGCTTGAATACACATGTACGTTCTCATCCTTTAATTAAAAGCACACACATGAAGTTCTGTACAGTTCAGCACAACCACACAGACTCATCCTCCACTTTAGTTTTCAATGGGTACCATGGGCACACTGGCAGTGTTGTAAGGTGATTCTGAAAGAAGAACTTAAACTCTCACTTTCATACCTTACAAGAATTATCATTCTTCTGTTTCCAGTTGCTCTAGATAAAAGCTCATCAGGATTCTGGGCAGGTGAAGGCAAAGGGAAGGAAAAATTAAGACTACTTTTTGCTAAATCACTTTAACTACTGGGAGGTTGGAGTTGGGGGAACAGATTAGATCAGTGTTTCTCAACCTTGGCCGCCTGAAGATGTGTGGACTTCAACTCCCAGAATTCTGGGAGTTGAAGTCCACACATCTTCAAGTGGCCAAGGTTGAGAAACACTGCATTAGATAAATAATTCCTTGTAAATATTCAAAACTTCACAACTGGCTCCTTGTGGTGCCACTATGCATCTGGGAGTTGAAGTCCACACATCTTCAAGTGGCCAAGGTTGAGAAACACTGCATTAGATAAATAATTCCTTGTAAATATTCAAAACTTCACAACTGGCTCCTTGTGGTGCCACTATGCATCTGGGAGTTGAAGTCCACACATCTTCAAGTGGCCAAGGTTGAGAAACACTGCATTAGATAAATAATTCCTTGTAAATATTCAAAACTTCACAACTGGCTCCTTGTGGTGCCACTATGCATGACCCACTGAGCAATGCAATTTGGATCTTCTACTCTAGTGATGTATCACTTGGCTGTTGTCATTCTCATGCTCCCAAATCCATCCGTGATGTAAGCCGAGTGATATGGACTAGAAAACAAACCATTTTTATGTCACTGGCAACATCTGCACATGGACTGGCACAGAAAGGATAACCTACCTCAAAACATAAACCAAGAGAAGGGCTCCAAGCTCACTGGCATTTCCAGTCCTGCCTTTCCAGCAGCCATGGATTTAAAAGAAGCAATTGTCGTGTGAATTTTGTCAAGTTTTTTCCTTTTGACTTTGAGTTCAAATTATTCATCGTTCCAGTTTTCCCCAAGTTTTATTTGCAGTTTCAGGAAAAGGGAAAGCAGCTACAGCCGATTTCCCAAAGGCGTCACACTACCACATCACTCATCACCTCCACAGAGCAGCAATTACCAGTGGGTGGTGATGGGACTTGTGATCCAAGAGATCTGGAGAAGGCCGGGGTGGGAAAGACTGATCTAAGATTCAGGGAGGCACCAATGAATGAACTTTCTGGACATCATGAGATTCTGTCTGTAGATACAGCAAGCAAGGATTTCAGGAAAACAGCAGAGGAATTGGTTCAATAAGTAGTTTTGGTTTGTTTTTTAACACTGTGGGAGCAGTCTATTCTTGAGAAATATGGAAATGCTGGGAAAAATCAAGGATCTTTGCATGGCTTTATTCAGCAATGAGAATTTAGTGTCATGATTTTCAAAACAAAGGGAACTAAGAGCCAGCATCTGGGAGCTCAGTTCAAATGTCAAGCCGCCAACACAAGCCTGGCTAATTCTGCAATGAAAAACTGGGGGTGGGGGTGGAGATGGTGGCGCAGCTGACAAACCAGCTCTGAAGAAAAGCAGCAGCCTGGATCTTTCTCTAAAGATCAAGGCAATAATTCCTCTTTGTTTTCACTGCAAATGAAAAAAAAAAAAGTGTTTCAGGCACATATTTCTTCTGGGTGTTTTACTCCTCTCCTCCACCCACTGCTGAAGTTAGCCTGAATGGCTAGGACTGCGTAACTTGCCAGCACAAACCCATTGATTAATTTAATTATTTCTTCGGGGATTTTGATCAACTAAATGCAACTGAGAATAGAACCAACATGATTTAGGAAACAGGCAGCCTTTCCATTAGAGGGGACGAGGAGGCAGGGAGAGAAGCGATGGTTTTAAAGCCTACCATGGGGAATAAAGCAAACTGAAATGTTTACGCTCCCTCTCTGATGGAGAATTCCATCTAAGGGCAAAAGTAACAATGGGAGCTGAAAGGGCCAGGAGAAGCCAAAAGATGCAGAAGCCAAACTAAGAAGCTAAGAACTATCTATGTAGACAAGCTAGCCAAATGCGTAGTTCCTAAAACAGTGGACATCTTAGAAACATATCTGACTACAAGGCTGTGGGAAAAAACAGCCTTAAATTATTAAGAGCTCCCATACAGCTGTCTGCAACCTGGGCTCCTTGCTGAGGAATGCCACCTCCCTACGAGGGAACCCAGTCCAGGTGGAGGTGTGGTTTTCACCTGTCCTCACCCCCCACAAAATCTTTTGGGCACAGCCCCAATGCCAGCAGAACTTTTGACAGCTAATGTTCATCTCCCACCCCCCTTTTCAAGGGCCGGATCCTGATCTCAAGATGCCATGCAAAGAAGTCACATCCCAACCTCCATGGAACAGACCATCAACCCTCTCTACAGGTGTTTTTGCCTCAGGGAGTCCCCACATAAAATGTCCTTCCAAAGTGACCTCTTCCTTTTTCACCAAAGAATTACAAGATGCCCCACCCCCGGGAAAGAAAGAAAGAAAGAAAGAAAGAAAGAAAGAAAGAAAGAAAGAAAGAA